GAAATAGGTTATAATTTATGCCCCATGTAACATGTTATTTTGTGTGAGTTTTGACCCCAATAAATTTCCCCCCAAGTTACCCCTCTTTATTACTTTTATGAAATAGGATACGAAAATATTTTTAACACTAAATCAGACTCAAAGTTTCAAAGTGGAAAATTATTAATATCAAATTCAATGTGAACTGAGGGTTTGTTGGTATAATAGTGTTTAATATTTACCCCCAATTATTAAATGGGAAAAAAAATTCACTAGGTTTTTTTTTTTTTTTTTTTTTTTTAAAAAAAAGACATGAAAAATTCTCAGAGCAATAAATGCGTATAAATGATTTTTCTTAGACAGATAAAAGAAAAATAATTTATCATTAATTACTTAATTGACATTTTGATTTCTTTTTTCCGAAAAAGGAAACTAGCAATAATAGAGTGCACGTGAAGAAAAAAGAGAAGTAAAAGAGGTGCCAAAAAAGGGGGGATTGAACCCGACGTGAATCGAACACGCAACCTTCTGATCTGGAGTCAGACGCGCTACCATTGCGCCACGGATCCACTTGTATTGCCTCTCCAACTAAATTAATTATATCTTAAATTTTAATTTACATAAAAAAAGTAATGAAACATGCACAAATTACTTTAAGTCAATTGATACTTACAAGAACAAAATCACTACAAGTATAACATTTATGTACATAATAACTTTCTTAATAATTGACATATCCCATACAATAATTTGTAAATATTAGAAACAGTCATGTTTTAACTATCATCGCATACAATAATTTGTAGTTATTAAAAATAGTTATGTTTTTTACTATTATCATTTAAATTTGATATATTAAATTTTTTATTTAATTTATAGTTTCGTTCAATAATTATAGTAACAGTAATAAAAAAACAGCATCCAACCACAATAATTTTTTTAAATATTTATATTTATTATAATAATTTACTATTTGATATCTGTTACATAATAATTTATATCTTTTAAAGTTTAAAGTTGAATTTGAAGATGGCAACAACAAGTCTTAAATAATTAATTTATCCAATATTTAGAGTTATAGATTCAAAAATCATGTTAAGATTATAGAAGGTGAAAATAAAATTAAAAGTTATTTATTCTATACGAACAATTATTTTAAACAAGACATTAATTACGATCTCTATGTTATATGTGTATTTTAAATATTATTAATTAATTACGCATAAGAGATTATCTTATATTTATATAAAAAATAAATGGGTAGTGTATAAAACAAACAATTTTTTTTTGAAAGTTCAAAATGAAAAGTGAGTATAAGGGAATTCGACTTTCAAAAATTCCATATTTATGGTTATAACGTGCACTTAATTATAAAGAATGTAGAATGTGAATAATAATTATTATGTTATGTATAATATAATATATTTGAAATAATCGGATTTTAAATTGTATATGATAATTAATGGTAAAGTTAACGTTCTTCATTATACATTCTAATTGTAAATAATATATAAATACGAATGACAATTATTATGGTACAGTAATGTATTATACTTAAAATATTAAAAATATTTTATTTTAATTATTTAAATACTTGTATGATTAAAAATAGTTCACTATTTTATTATTGCATAATAATTTATTTTAAAAATATGATAAAATATTCATAGATTTAAAAAATATATATTTACATGACTGTTTCTAATATTTACAAGGCAGCAGGTGAGTGAATCGCGTCAAAAAAGCAGGGGGAAGAAGTGTAATGACGAGACAACCCGCTTATTTTGGAGAAATTTGGAGGAAACTACTCCATTCCACCTACTGCTACCCCCCAACCTGCATTGGCAAAATGAAATCATACCAAAATTTTTCAATAAATTAATTTTCTTAAAATCATATAGTAATTTTAATAATTTAATTAAATCATACATTAAATTTTTGTTTGTAATTAAAATTTCATTAATTTTAATCTGTGACGTGATATATTTAATACTAAATAAAAAAAAATAATGATATTTTTCGTATGTTTTGCAACTATACTCTATTTTGTATAAAAAAAATATGTAAGAGTAATATAAATTTTAAATAAACGAATTATTTTTAGTGATCAAATTATTAATTATAAGTAATGTAATACGTTTGTCTGTTAAAATTTTTAAAAAATAAAATAAAAATAAATTTTAAAAAAATAAATACTAATGTATATTTAATGAATATGTAAAATTCACATAATTTAAATTAATTAGCAATTATAATTAAATATAGATATAAAATTTATTTAACAATCTAAGTATATTAATTTTAATATTTTAAATTAAAATTTAATTTATTTTTGCATAAAAAGTTTTACATTCCATCATAAAAAAAAATGAAAAAAACTTTTTAGAGAGAGGCCAGCTTTAAAAAGGAGCAAGTTTCAATTCAAAGAGAAAAAAACTTTTTTTTTAAAAAAAAAAAAGAAAAAAAGAAAGAGAAAAAAGTGGAGAGAGTCTTGTATCGAAGGCCACAAATATTAACAGTCAAGTCTTCCCCCTTTCTCTTCTCTCAGCTGCAACCCAAAATTAATATACTTTCACATCCCATTTGCACATCAACAGCCTCTCTCTCTCTCTCTCTCTCTCTCATTATCTTTTCCCCGCTCCGACCATTATTCACAAGAAACACGTTCAAATCATTCATCTATATATATATATTTATGATCAAATCCAGTCCGTAGCAGAGAAACTGCTGTTTTTCCGATCGTACAACAAGACATGTCGTGTTCTTCTTCGTCCGGATCAGAGGAAGACGATGAGGGAATTGACTCTTATAGGAAAGGTGGATATCACGCTGTTAGAATCGGCGATCCGTTCGCTGGTGGACGATACATCGCCCAGAGGAAGCTCGGCTGGGGCCAATTCTCTACTGTATGGCTCGCTTACGATACTCGTACTTCTGTACGTTTCTCTTCCTTTTTTCTCTCTCTTTTTTTTGTTTATTCGTATTTTGCCCTCTTGATTCGTTCTGCTTCGTTTTCTCGATTAACGTGGCCTTACATATTTTTCTTATTTCAATTTTTTTTTAATCTTTCTAGATTCTTTCTCCTTTACCGAGTTGTTTGTTGTTTGAACACACGAAGCCTAGGAAACTTGTATTTTGTTATCATTTTTTTGGATTTGATTCTTTTTTATGAATGTTTGAAATTTGAATCCTTCTATACGCTGCAGTTTTGAATTCTTATGGATTCTGTCCTGTACTTGCCGGAGATCTCTGTTTCCTTGTTCTTCGTACTATTGAGTCCTCGTTTCCGGTAACGTATTTAGCGGGATTGTCAAATCTTAAGGTGGGATCGCGGATTCGTTATTCATCAATCGCATCGTTTTCCATTTTCGGGCTGCAGTTTTTCGGTTTTCCTCCCGGTTTTAGGACTTTCTGTTTATAGAAGAAAGTCTTTTATTTCTATTTTTCCACCATTTTCTCTTTCCAATATTATGAGATTTCATATATCCGTTACTCAACACGTTGCCTCATATTTGTCTGGACAAATGTTTAGTTTATTATTATTATTATGATCTCTTTTCGATGATATTTAGGTTGTTTTACAAATGTTCAGCTTCCTCTGTTGTGGTGGTTGGCCTCCTTACAAATGTTCCATGCGAATCCATGAAATATATCGAGACAATAAACAAGGCTCGGCAGCCTCGTTCGCCTGCACCCATCTTGAGTGATTCGTTTGTCCTCATGTGAAACATATGATAAAATCTGTCGTTTTACAGAATATAATGATCATGTTATCATCTAAGTTTTCTAGTGTAGATGCCTCTCTATCTTTATAGTTAGGATGATTGTTCTGTACGGTCAAGTCATAAATGCGGCTTTGACCTCCAGTAATGGCCATATACTTCCAATAGCAAATATAAATTACGAATTTTTTAAAAGAAAATTAGATCTCAACGACTTTAGCCACATAAATCTCCGTACACTCTTAGTTACTTAAGTTTGCCTATGGTTGCAAATGTGCCTTTTCTATTTACTTTCAATAAAGTGGCATGTTCAACATGGTAGTTCCTTTGGCCTAAACAAATGAATCATGCACTTGATCATGAATACAGCAATTCATCTTATGCTCATTTTACCGGGGATACAAAAAATGGATCTGCTCATCTGATTTCATAAGATGTTGTCTAAGATAACATTTGTGAACAAAATGCATTGTTGAATACTTAGACTTTAGAGCAAACTTATATTTTCATCATCTGCCATTTGCGATGTGGGTCTGCTTTAAGTGAGAAACTGTTATTTTTAATCACTATTTTCTCCATGCATTCATTCTCCTTTCTAATACTTATGTTGAATACCACTGGAGTTGCTTAACTTCAATTGTTGTTATTTTGTCTTTCCAAGAGTTATGTTGCTCTCAAGATTCAAAAAAGTGCACAACAATTTGCTCAAGCTGCGCTACATGAAATTGGAATCCTGTCTGCCATTTCTGATGGTGACCCCCCCAATTCCAAGTATGTTGTGCGACTTATCGATCACTTTAAGCACGCAGGCCCTAATGGACAGCATTTATGCATGGTCCTCGAATTTCTTGGTGACAGTTTACTCCGGCTGATCAGGCATAACCGATATAGAGGGCTTGAAATGGATAGTGTCCGTGAGATCTGCAAATGCATACTGATGGGTCTGGATTACTTGCATAGAGAAGTAGGTATAATCCATACTGACTTAAAGCCTGAAAATATTCTTCTTTGTTCCACCATAGATCCTGCCAAGGATCCGACCAGGTCTGGGCTCACCCCAATCCTTGAAAGGGCAGAGGGGAGTCTAAATGGTGGAGCTACAATGAATCTTATTGAAAAGAAGTTGAAAAGGAGAGCAAAGAGGGCAGTTGCTAAGATATCTGAAAGAAGAGCTTCGATGGGAGGAGTAGAACCTCCAAAGTGTGAGAGAAGTCTGGAAGGAATTGATATGAGGTGCAAAGTTGTGGATTTTGGAAATGCATGTTGGGCCGATAAGCAGTTTGCGGAAGAAATCCAGACAAGGCAGTATAGAGCTCCTGAAGTCGTACTTCGATCTGGATATTCTTATTCTGTTGATATATGGTCATTTGCTTGTACAACTTTTGAGCTTGCTACTGGTGACATGCTTTTTGCACCTAAGAGTGGACAAGGCTACAGTGATGATGAGGTACAGTTGTCTTGGTTCTTCTTTACATTGATCAATTCATTATACAACAGAGTTTGCTGTTGATTTTGAACAACATAATTGGGCTTGCTATTCTAGCTTATGTTTGCTGTCTTAGATAATGATGCTACAACATAGGAATAGAATTTAGCAAATGAAGGAATTGATGAAGCAGTAATAAGAATCATAATGAAGGTTTTCTATGTACATGCTGTAATTTTAATGCATGCTGGCTTATGTGGTTTTCTCTCACGTTACTTGAGAATTTCTATAATTGATGAAACCAGCTGAGCAAGAACGAAATAGTAAATCTGTATGATAACTTCTCCATTATCCTACCAGTGTACCAAGAATGAATCAATCCTACTGTCTGATGGCTTTTATGTTGCTGTTGTAGCCCCCACTGGGGTGTCTTCTCCCTCTTAGCTCTGACTGGTATTCAGGGAGAAAATGGTGAAGATAAAGGGGTGGCACTGATAAAATAAAACTACGCCTATGTTGAATTTTCATGGACAAATGAATGTGCTTGGATGAACCTGGAATAAACTGTAACTTTCTGCTGTGGATTCAGAAATCTTGTCTGTAAAAGAAATTTAGTAGTTTCTTCTCTTGTTGATTAGCTGCTCCACAACTTAATTGGACCTTATTTTAGTGGATGCTGATTTTACACGTAGCAGACGAATCATTTTGCTTTTCAATATGCCAACTATTTGTGGTGGGATCCTTTATGGGAATTATCTTACATTTGGGGATGTTATATTGTTCCATTGTTTTTCCTTGCACCCCACCTCATCCCAGCAAAAGAAATGAAAAATGCTTTTCATGACATTATTTTCCTGCATTGGCTTCAGGATCACCTTGCTCTCATGATGGAACTCTTAGGAAAGATGCCTAGAAAGGTAAGTACATCTTCTCGTTGGTGTTATCCAGCTGTGTCAAATGATTCAATACCCATTTCCTGTTTGCAATTGTCCGAGCAGATTGCCATTGGAGGAGCTCGATCCAAGGATTATTTTGATAGGCACGGGGATTTAAAGAGGATCCGGAGGCTGAAGTTTTGGCCACTTGACCGTCTGCTGGTTGATAAATACAGATTTTCTGAGGCTGATGCCCGAGAGTTTGCAGAGTTTTTGTGCCCGCTTCTCGATTTTGCACCAGAGAAGCGGCCAACTGCACAGCAGTGCCTGCAACACCCATGGCTTAATCTCAGGACTCAAAAGGAGACGAAACATGAATCTAATATGGAAAGTTTGGGTGTTGGTGTGAGCAATCTTCAGATTAAAGGTGGGTGAGTGAAGAAGGGACCAGTGGTGTTGGCCACGTCCATGCCATTTTCTAGGCCCCTTTCCTCAACGGCACCACCGGTATGAGTATTGATGTGATGTATTTTTTGGCTTGTTACATCTTCAATAAGATTTTATTTTTTATTTATTTTTAACTATTGGTTAACTACAATGTAAAATAGTAATGATCATCATGCTGAAATGATATGCGAGGGAGAAATCTTAACTGGAAATGACCAAGAACAACACTGATGAATTTGTTTCAATTATTTACTCATGAATCTGATTTACTATACTCGGTTCCCTTCATATGACTGGACTATATATGCTGATCATCTGGGTCAACTCTAGAAAGACTGGATCAATTTTATCTGTTTACCCTTGGCTTCTTATGTTTATGTTTGACATGACTCGTACTTGATTAGGGCTCTGAATGGTATGGGAAGGTAAAGTTGGTCTGAATTAAAACAAATTAGTAGAAAGTGGTAATCTGGTGGGACTATGTGCTGCGGCATGTGGGTCGCACTCGGAGTAAGAAGAATTCACTATTGGATCAGTAAGTTGACAAGTGAAAAATTAACTTTAATATATATATATATATATATATATGCACGCACATACATCATCTTCTTAGATAAACTTTCAATTTAAGTGAGTCCTAATAAAATTGCGGTACTGTAATAACCAATTGATTTGAAAGGTTAATAATTATCGTCCCTCTTACATCTCTTTAGAAAAATATATAAAATTAAAAAATACTTTTAAGTAAAAAAAAAAAATGTATTATTTGTTGTTATTTAATAAATATATTATATATTTATGATTGACTTATGAAATTTAATTTAATAAAATTAAGAAGTTAATTTATTAATATTTTATTAAATTAAAATAAATTTTGATAAATTTATTATATTTTTAAATAAAAAAGAATAATTTGTATATGTTAAATTTTTTTATTTAAAATAATTATGATAGAATAAAATTAATTTAATTTTTTACCTAAAAATAAAAAAGAAAATAATACTGCTGGTATGCATTTAATTATAAGGATGCTCGTGGCGGAGGTCGATAAGCATCATAGATAATAACCACGGGTTTGTTAACCACAGATTGTGACGCGGATAGCCACTTTTGTTTCGGATAAACATAGCTGTGGCTAACGTCTGGCCACTGTTCCATTATATATATATATATATATCTATTCATATATCTTTTTGAGGAAATATATATACAATATACTCTGAGGTCACCCGCATATGTATATGTATAAATATACTGTATTTGCAATTCTTTTTGGCCAAAAAAGAAGTGCGAGTAATTTTTATTGGAGGAGATGGGTATGGATTACGAATCTTTCTACTCAATAAGAACGTAAAATTCTTGAAACGAGATTTTGATATGAATAATTTAGTTTAGATTATTGCTAAATTTGTTGTGAAACAAGGGCTGTAGTTAGAAACGTTATTGGTACTTGATAAATGAACAGAACATTAGAAATTAAATTATAATAAATATATTGTAATATTCGGGTTTAAAGTTTAGTTCAGTATTAATTTTGAAATTAAAAAAAATATATAAAAAATATAATTTTTAAATTTATAAATTTTTATTTAATATAAAATTAGAAAAAAATAAATTTATAAATTTTTATTTAATATAAAATTAGAAAAAAAATAGGTGGATGATGAAATTAAAAATATTTTTGAGAAAAAAATGTGAAAATTTAGGTTCGCGAGCAAAATCCAAAATTGCCTCTGATGAGCCTATTTCCGTTTCTCAATTCGTGCGATTTTTCTACTATTGTGTTCATCATTCTGTTTTCTACAGGTTGACTGAAGAAAAACGCCTAGCCCCGAAAGTAAGTCGGTGGAGTTGTCACACTGGAAAATTTCGCCGCCAGTAAATTTTTATTTTTTGACTTTTTTCGATCAATCGAGTCATTATAACGTATTTTTCTGCAAGGATGTGTATAAAATCAGCCGAAACCGGCGAAAACTGGCCGAAAACGACCAATTTGAGACAAACTGCCACCGCGGGTGGCAGCGCCATCATCGGAACACGGCAGTGCCGGAATTCTAAAATTAGCATGAAAAGGTTTTTAACATCGATTTTGAGTTTTTTGAGATATTTTTTAGATATGTGAAACGTGTTTTAACTTTCATAAAAAAATTTAGGAAATCCAGCGACCGCCAGTAGGCGCAGTTGAAAGTTCAGTATTTCGAACATCGATTCAGGTAAGAATCCATTACTTTATTCACTATTATGGAATTAAAGTTTAATTATTAATAATACAGTATTTTGCGTAATTTAGAAAATTTGGAGAATTAATTACAGGTTACTAATGGAGTCAGAATCGATTATTTATTATCGTTGTCATGTTTAATCGATTGTTTGATTTTACAGCTTTAAATGCATAATAATATACTGGAATTGATAAAATGATTCAATTGTGTTTTCTTGATGCACGTATTGTTTGTCTTGAATTGATTTACGGTTAAATTGTGAAACTAAAAATTAAATGTAAATGAAAAATTAATTGGTTAAGTGAATGAATGAATGAATAATATTCTTACTGGATATCTTGAGAGATGGTGGACAGACCGGGTACATAGAAAACTCTACCGTGAACGTCGCCTCATACCAGATGGGGTATCGAGAATTGATACTTTAGCGCACCAGACAGGGTATGAGGATGACCGGTTTCACCCTCATACCAGACGGGATATTGAGTGATAGTATTTTTGACGCTTATATCAGACGTAGTATGGGGACGACTGATTAATTAATAAGGTTGGATGTTGGTTCATGTGTAGTGGAACATCCTTATGGACTCTCATGAATACCAGTACGCAAATAAAAAGAGAAAGTTGTTATTCTTATTTATTTGAATATGAGATTATGATGTTGTTGAGCTATTATCTCTATATGTCAGTTTTAAAAATCTCATAACGATAAATATGCAATAAATGATTTTACTTATAATAAATGATTTACTTAGTTAGAGCTCCATTAATTATTTTT